AGGCATTCTTTCTCAGATTTATGTATTTTCCAATCTATTAACCTTTGAAGAAGATCCTTCTTCTGAAGTATTTGATTTCACCAAGTAAGCTAGATCATGTTTTCCTTTGGTTTGCTACCACAATATATCCTTAGCGAGCCAGCCTAACTGACACCGATATTCATCTGTCTGAATTCTTAGGAGACTTAATTGCAATACTGTCTTTCTAAGAAACTCCTTGCTTTTCCTTTTGACAGTTGTTAGGTTTATCATATGAAGATGAGGATTCTCATCAAGACTTACACACAGGATATTGGTGGTGATGACATGTAAGCCATCTCCTATTTTATATAGCTGTTATGTCATATAAAAATGCTACATTGAATAGAAACAATGGGGCACGTGTCCTTCTTAGGCTTCACATATTGCTGGGAACAGCTTCCTCTGAATACAGTAGAGAGAGCCTATTATTTGGCTAGGAAATTCACAGGAAGCTGAATGATCTTAAAGACATGCAGTTTATATATCGACCCCCCCCCCCCATTTATATATGTACCTATTACAAGATCTTAACTGGCTAGGTTAAAGTTACAGAGTTTCACTAATCTAATGTGGATATTTCCATATTTTCTATACTTCAGCTTTCTAGTTAATCCCTAACAATGGATTTCCATATCTTAATTCTGGATTGGATGTCCTGGAACAGTTTAGGCTTTGCACAGTGGAGTTTGTTTCTGTTTTCTCCCTCACTCATTTTTAAACCCCTTGATTGCAGGGAGGTGAGATCTTCTGAAATTTTATCACTAAGTTTATATCTAGATTAATACTAGCAGCAACCCCAGCAGCCAGCTGTATTGATAATAGGAACAGGAAATAACATTCATCTAGTGTAGACCAAGCATAGATAACTATTTCTTGGTCTAATTATGCAGACATTATCTAAATTTAGTTTGGATGGGGAAGAAACATTATATACTAGGTGTAATTTTCCTTATATACCATGCTGGAGTTCACTTCCTCGTCATTAAAAAATGTCATTTGGTTTTTTAAAATTCTCTTACAAAGGTCCTTTAGAACAGTGTTTGATACAAATCTCAAGTATTTCATTCCACCCTAGATATTGGCAGAAGAATAAAAAGAGCCCTTTATACCAGAATGTTACCTATCCAATATTACATGTCCAACACACTGCGGAGGTCTCTCTTTGGCCCACTTTAATGTCTTCCCATTTGTAATGTTGGAAGGAAAGTATAACAAAACAGCTTTTGCAGAGCAAACTGGCCCTTTTGATTTGATGGAACCTGAGGCTCTTGCCCACACGTTCCTTTGATGTCCTTTCTATAGCAACCTTAATAACTCCATTTCCTAACAGAAGTTCCACCTGTTCTGAGGATGATTTTATTTTCTATATATTATTGGAGTAGAACCTTAACCTCTCCAGAAGACTTGCCAAATGTATTATAGTAGCCATTTCTTTCTGCAAAAAAGCATCATGCTTTTAGGTTTGTAACTATGAAAAAAAATAGTTTGGTCTTATGTCCTTTTGTCACATGTGACTGGTCACTGATCACAATAAAGTTCTAGAAAAAGTTATGCACACATTATACATTCTTCTCTAAGATCCATCCAAGACATTTGAAAGGCAACATCAACACAATTAGAAATGTTTAAAATTGATTTGGATACTAGCTATGCCACTGTGCAGATGACCAAGAGTTGTTTCAAAATGTGATAGAATTGAGAGTATATTCCAACATTTAGAAATTCATAGCGAGTTTTCTTCTCTCTCTCCTTTGTGGCATGGAAGTGCAATCTAGCTAATAGCAATTCATGTATTTTATTCATTTGTTGAATTGAAACATTGTCCCTGTGTTCCTTGCAGTGTATTAACTCAGAACTACCAACATATTCTGGCCTTGCAATTTGCAGTAGAAACGATTAATGAAAATCCAAGGATCTTACCTAATGTCACTTTGGGGTTCCATATTTTGAACAGCAATTTCCGGGCAAGGTGGACTTATCGTGCCTCAGTGGAACTGATCTCTACACGGGGCAAATTCATCCCTAATTATAAGTGTGATGTCCAGGCTAATGTAGCCACTGTTATTGGTGGCCCTAATGCTAATGTGTGCCTGTTTATGGCAACCATTCTGTGCATCTACAAAGTTCCACAGGTGAGTTGCCTTCATTCAAATAACAGTTGAAAAGCGTGTGTGTGTTTTTCGTTTTGCATTTTATATATGGTTTTTCCTTCATTTAGAAAATAAGGTTTTGGGGTTTTTTGGCTTGTTTGTTCGTTTTTGTTTCTGAAAAAGAAGAGAAAGGGATGTCTCCTGAAGGGAAAACATTTAACCCTTCTTAGAATTCTGACTCATCAGCCAAAATAACTAATGGGTCTTCTATCTTTTGATTTGATGATTTATCTATATACTTGAGCTGGTCAGATGCCACATAGCACATTTTCATGTGCTGAACCAAATCTCAGAATCTTCATTGACATATTTTAAAACCAAAGCAATCCAGTTATCCTTAATTAGAAAAAAAAGGCAGCAGAGAAAGGGGAATTTCTACCCCTGCTTTCTGCCTTTTGTGGCATTCAGAGACTGCCCTAATGTTCTTCTAAATGACAGTGACAACATTGATCAGTCTTTAAGCTGCTCCTTATCAACCTATCTTAAGTCATTTAAGGCTTTCCAATCTCTGTGTATTAAGGAACAAAGTTACACTATGTCACTTATGACACCCATTCTGATTGATTGATTGATTGATTGATTGATTGATTGATTATGTACCATCAAGTTGCTGTTGACTCATTGAGACCACAGAGAGAGACCTTTTCCAGGATGATCCATTCCCAACCTGGCCCTACATGTCTTCCAAAGGTGAATCCATTGCTGCTGTAATCCAGTCTACCTACCTTGCTACTGATGTTTTTTCTTCTCTTTCCTTCACCATTTCCATCATTACAGACTTTATAAGACAGCACAGTGTGTCCCAAATACGATGATTTAAGCCTTGAGTGAGAAGCCTAGATTGATTTGTTCTGCGATTCATTTTTGGGTGGGGAGGGGGTGCTATCAATGATATTCTTGGAAGTTCTCTGACACCAAAGGTCAAAAGTGTCAATTATTCTGTCTATCCTTTTTTAAAGTCCAACTCTACAGTAACTTCCATGAAGTGTTACAGGGAAGAACATTGCCTGATCTTTGTAACTATAGACACATCATAGCATCTGAATATCTTTTCTAACATCTTAATTGCTAACATACCATGTGCCAGTCTGCAGCATATTTCTTGACTGCTGGTTCTTTTCCTACTGATAATCATAAAAGGGAGACATTATCTACCACTTCAGTATCTTCACTGGCAGATCTAAGGCTTTAGCTGGGCATCTGAGATTATCTTTACACCTTCTGTGACCCAGCTATGAGGATATCCTCTTAGCACACACTCCAAGTATTTGCTAATCTCTCCCAGGAACACACCAAAACCACCCACATAGTACAACATGAGGTTAAGATTCTTCTTCTATCTACTGGCTATCTATTGAGTATGTAGTAGAAATCAAGAATACAATTTCAGCTCTTTCAACTTCTGATTGGAAATCAGTTCAAGCTTTATTTATTTATTCATTTACATATTTAGAATTTCATACCACTGTAATCATAAGTTTCTTAGAGGTGTAAAAAGCCCATACAACTTCCACTGTATAGAGCAAACCATATGGATAAAAGTAAAATCAGAAAAATAATATTCCATTTAAAAGTAGAGCAATTATACCTAATAAATGATAGCATTTTCTCAGTTACTTAAAGCTCCATCTTAACTTGTTCCCAGAAGGTCAAAAAGGTTGGGGAAAGACTCACTAGTACAGGAATACGGTTTGATAGGACAGGGATTATCACAGGGAGATTCCTTCTCCTGGTCTCACCTGCCTGAATTCAGAATAGGTGGAGATCATGATCATTTTTTCCTAGCATGTTCAGAGAGAATGGTTGATTCTAGTTGAAGAAAGAGGTCCTGAAGTAGCCTCAAGACCAAGCCATGCAGGTTTATGCCCAAGATATCAGTTCTACTTCAACACATTCTATACTAGAAAGTATCTCCATATTATCAATTATTATTGTTGGTTGCACAGTCAGCCAGATGTTTAGACTGGATTTGGCATTTTTATCCACCTGTCGAGTATTTCCTGAGGACTTGGGATAGCCAGATGTTGTTTGATGGTGTTAAAGGTATCATTGCAGGATGTAGGCAGTTCCAAGTAAAGCTATCTTTGCAATTGACTGATGGTGATTTTGTCAATGCCGATGGTGTTCAAGTGGTGCTCCAGATGTTCTGGGATTGCACCTAAGCTATCTTTGCAATTGACTGATGGTGATTTTGTCAATGCCGATGGTGTTCAAGTGGTGCTCCAGATGTTCTGGGATTGCACCCAAGGTGCCTATTACTATTGGTGCTATCTTTGCTTTCTTTTCCCATACTCATTTTATTTGTATTTGCAGATCTTTGTATACTGTGTTTTTCTCCAGTTCTTTCTCTTCTATACTGCTGTCTCCAGGTATTACAACGTCACTCTCCAGACTTTTTTTATCTTTCTTATCAACAGTTGTTAAGTCTGGGGTATTTTGTGGGAGGTGCTTTTCTGTTTGAATTCCGAAGTCCCAGAGCACCTTAACTTCTTCATTTTCTATTACTTCTTGTTTTTTGTGTTCCCACCAGTTCTTGCTTTCAGGCAAATGGTATTTCTTGCAGATGTTTCAATGCACCATGCTATTATGTCATGCCATTGTTTGTAGTCAGTCTGTGTGATCTTCTTGCAGCAGCTATTATTATAATTATAATCATATTATTAATAATGAATTATTAATATTAAATTATTATTATTACTATTACTATTACTATTACTATTTCTTTAGTTTGCATATGGTTCAGCTCCGGTGATGAATGACAAATCCCAGGGCAGTTTCCTTCATCAGCTATTCCCAAATCTTGACCATCACTACAAGGGGATTCTCCAGCTATTGCTATATTTCCAGTGGACATGGATAGGTGTTATATATGTAAATGATGACAGTGGAGAGAGCTTTGTGAAAAATGTGCTGCCCATTTTTGCCCAGGAAAGTATCTGCTTTGATTTTGTGGAAACATTTCCACAAATAGGTTTTTCCTCAGAAATTAACTCAATAGCATTGGAAGGACTGAAGACAATCGGCATTGTTATGGGAAGGAAGGCCAATGTAGTGGTTGTGCATGGTGAAATTCAAAGTATTATGGTTTTAAGAATTATGCTTCAGTTCTCAGAATTTCATGAAATACCAATGAAGGCCAAAGTATGGATTTTCACAGCCCAAATGGATTTCACTTCACTTCCATTACTACGGAGCTGGGACATGGGCTTCATCCACGGCGCTCTCTCTCTTGCAGTTCACACCAAAGAAGTATTCAGCTTCCACCAATTCCTTCGATTCAGAAAGCTTCCATCAGAAAAAGAAGATGGTTTTTTCAGGGATTTCTGGGAAGAGGCATTTCAGTGCTCTTTCTCCAATTCCAATGTAGAAATGAAGTCAGGGGAAATCTGCACTGGAGAGGAGAAGTTAGAAACTCTTCCTGGGTCTGTGTTTGAAATGAGCATGACCAGCCACAGCTATAGCCTCTATAATGCAGTTCATGCAGTGGCAAATGGCTTGCATGCTGTGCGTTCCTTGACAGTGAACAAAAGAACAGTAAGGGATGAAGGAAGAAGGGAGCTTCTC